CCCCAAAACCCCAAAACCCCTTAATACATCATATAGAAAAATTATTAGATCAAAAATATTTAATATAATCTAGAAATAATATACTCAGAATAGATGATAAAGCTTTTAATGTTAAAAATTTGTAAATCCTTCTTCATTAGGATTTTTTTGACATCAAATAACAGAAATATGGAGTCACGAAATCAATCTTAATTTCATTGGCTAATTAAATATCACTTCCGCATGTCTAAGCTACCTTTTACTTTAATATTACTAATGGATCCTCATTTGATCCCTTCTCAATTTTATGATCTTCTAAATAGCATTGATAAGCTGAATTTGAATTCATATAACCAAAGACCTCATGGATTGACTTCTAAGGTGTAAGATCATTCCAAATAATTTAAGTGTCTACATTAAGGTAATCATCAAAGTTAAAAGGAGTGTAAAATTTCTCTATGACTGATCTATCGAATCTAAAATGAGGATAGATCTTAGCCCACATTTCTTCATAAGCTTCACTAATTAAAGATTGGATTGATTGTTTAGACTAATCGAATTGATAGTCAGTTGGTATATTTGTTTTTACTACAAATCCTTTGGACTCCATATTCTGCTCTTTTATTCTCTACCATAAATTTTAGCCGTCATATATCAAAGGTTTACTGTAAGCTAAGACTAGGACATATTATTGCATGCTAGAGCCAAGAACAGAGTCTAGAGTCTCCAAAGTTTTTTGCAAAGGCATCCAGTGAATTGATTGTCCAAAAGTAATAAGATCTAATTAATTTTCATTTTTAAGATTGTGCTTTTCAATGAATTACGGCAGTTCTTCAATACCTGCTTAGTGAAACTCAATATTAGTAAGATCCTTGTATTTATTTGCAGCCTCTTTCAATTGAGATTCACTGATATCTGTGCCATAAACCTTTTTAAAGCCAAGATTTATAGCTAACTGCTTGGCTAGAAATCCTGTTCCAGTTGCAATGTCTATACTAACATTATGATTCAAACCTTTCATATGTTCAGCTCTGATATATTGCAAAAATTGATCTGGATACTGAGGCCTATACTTAGCATAGCTCTAAGCCTATCCCTCAAATCCAAAATAATCTTTTCCATCTTATTTTTCCATTTTAGAAGTTGAGAATGTACTTGAAAATTATTGATTGACTTTGGTAATTTATCTTTATATTATCCTCCTCTTTGTTATAATCATAATAAATATTAATAAAGATTCTAATTTATTCTAATTAATGCCAGAAATTAAGCATATCTTATAATTAGGGGTTTTGGGGTTTTGGGGAGATCGGAAGAGCACACGT